CGATACGCCACTGTCTACAGGCAAACCAAAACGCTATATCAGCATTATTGCTTGTTTATTAACAGACTTAGACCTTAAGTATTTGGAAGCCCCAAACTACACATATAGTTTAGTTTTGAAAAACTGGGTTAAGAACATATACTATCATTAGTTTTCACTCACTAAAGGACCCCAAATTGATCACGGATGGGTCTTTGACGACTTAAGTGAGAATATTAATCTCCGTTGTGGGGGTGACGCAAGCTTTTTATGTTTCAAAAGGGTGCACTAACCTAAAAGGAAGTTGACAAACACTGATCTAGTAGTAGACTAAACAATGGTGCCCCCCCCCCCTAATCCAATGACTGGTCAAGAAGGACCGGTTTTGAACAAGAATGCTACAATTAAACGTGGGCCAGCTTAGGATGATGTTAACTTTTCAATTAAAAGCATAGATGTTTACAGACAAAGAATACATAGATATTAGATAGCAAACTGCTAAATTGTGCATGTCTTTTTCCTATACAAGATTTGAACTTGATCAGTGGACTTTACTCGACGGAGATCTCTCGGCGCTCTAAATTATTGATTGAGTCACACTTTACGTGTCATATAGAGGCCGTACGTCCGTAAGGTTTTTATAATGTTGGCACTTAGTCCATGTAAACAATGTTTAAATCCCGAATGTGTGGCTTGTGCAGCCACATCACCATATCAGCTGAAATAAATGTGATAGATTGTAATTTAGAAAGACCAAAAGTAAATAGATAAATATGACAAATAATAATTACCTGTGATTTACAATTGCGTGACAATATTAAACATTCATAAGAGAAAATTAATTAAAGCCTAGCAAAGAGAGAATCGGTGTGAATATACAAGAGGTACATCAAATCCCAATGTCAAAAGGTGACTAACGTCGCTACGCTTTCCGACAAAACATATAGCTCCGATTAGTCTCATTTGACAACGCCTCCTATCGTCAGAGTCCAGCAGCCTAACCGTGTGTTAGCACATGGCCTTTTACCAGAAAAATCGTATAAAACATCGCGCTCTCACAACATTCTCGATAGGTGTCAAATAAGAATCTGTGAAGGGGTTCATTGATGGACCGTCGTGCAGTGTATCATCGCCTACCAAGCCGATCTACTCTGATTATTTTTATTTGTAAACATCTCGATAAGATTAGGTTCAATAATAGTGCTTGACAGCATTATAAAGCAAATTATTATAGTCTTTATTACTACCTAAAACAAAATGGATTACTAATGTATACATAGTTGCAGATGGCGCACTTCACTCTCTAGCAAAGTAGCAGACGATCTCCCAATGCTTGAAACGTAATCGCAAGACTCCGTCTTAGTCCAATTTCTAGCTGGTTATCACATTACGTACTCGTTATATGGGCATTCTGATAATGGCTACTACACTGCCTTTAAATGGTTACCAAATTTTACTGTCAAAACGAGTACCAAAAAAAAATCATAAACGAAACAACGGGTGCTTTGCCCTTTGGTATTACCTTTCTGAGCTCTGACTCCCCCGGTCATGTCGGGTAAGTGTCGTTTATCCTATGTACCATCCACTCTGCATAGGGTATGAGTAGGGGTGTGTAAGAATGTACTTGACTTGTGTACGGTCGAGAAGTAAAATATAACCACTGTTATGTGGTAAAGGGGCTTATATCAGATCCCATATTTGCCTATTTGAAGGGCGGATAAAGCTGTTATCAATTTACAATTAAACCGAAACCAAGCCCTGCGATTACGTAACAAGCATTGGGAGATCGTCTGCAAGTGAGCTACTTTGCCCGACCGTTCGAGAGTGAAGCGCGCCATCTCCAACTCACTGTAACTACGGATACATTGGTAAACCCATCCATCTATTCGGCAACATAGAACAGCGTCATCTCTTGGCGATAATTTTTGGAAGATTACATCATGGTTGCATGGGTCGAAAGGGGGAATCCCATTTTCGGGACCTTTTCCTATGCACTGTGTTCTTACCTCAGTTCGTCCTTTTATGCTGTCTTTCTTGTATAGATCGATTGCAATAATGACAATTTCGTATTCAGCATTTAAGAAAGATGTGTTGTTACTATAAAAGGAGTTTGCTGCCGGTTTGCTGACATGCCGAAGGCATTACATAACAAGAGTAGGGGGTAAAAGATGCTTAAAGATGAACTTGCACGAGTTCTGGTAAACAAAGAAAATGAATTCTCATAGAATCAAACGAAACTTACATTGAATGTTCAAGATAAACGTAACACTTAAAGAATTACACACATTGATTAGGTATTCTTTATTAAATATCTGTTTTAATTAATTGGGCGGATGAAATAAAAACACAGATAGAAATGTTTTTCCTTGCAAAGATCACTGGTATTACAATAATAATAGACACCAGAATGAAAATGAAGAAAATAAACATGACTTACATTATGGCCCGTTGGGCACACATAGACGACGCATGGCCGGCGCATTGACAAATCTGAAAAAGTCGTGAGCCCGACTTTTGTCAGGATTTTGGAGAAGCTAACGAGCTGAAACCGAATGCAAAGCGTGTACAGGGCGTGTGCTCCGCGTATGTCTGGTGTTGGTCTAGCGCGCTCCGCGCATGTCTGGCGTCCTTTTGGCGTGTACATTCATGCGTCGAGCTCCGCGCACACATTTTAGTATGCTCAAAAAATCCCGACGCACATAGCGAATGACAACGAATGCATAGCGCTGGTCCAGCGCGCTGGACGAACGAGTAACGAATGATGACGCACACCTAGCGAACGACAACGCACTGGCCAAAATTGCGAATTTCCGATGCGCTGGCCGTGCGTCCCCCGTGCGTCCCCAATGTGTGCCGGGCCATTAGTAAGGAGTGTTTCATCAACGCTTAGGAACTACTCGTTGCACTTTTGATAGGTGATATTTGGGACTAAATGAAAATATATTTGAATAAGATGAAACAGTTGCTTTAAATGACAAAGCGTTATATTGGAATATTGAAAGCCTATTTCTATAACCAGTTTCCTCTTTGTCAGCTAAAATGTTTAGCAAAGTTCGCAAACTGTATCTACAAGCCCGATGTTTCTTTGTTTTACATTCTACTTACAGGCTTTGTAAATAATGTAACAGATTTACATCCTACAAAATATAATTGTTCATGTAATGTTGGATCGTGCGTAATTGACAATCATAAAAAAATACCAAGCAACATAATTATATAATGTATACATTGACAATAATTATGTACATAGCTAAATACAATTGAACTAAAGCCCCCTCTCAAAAAATGAAACGAAAGCGCTTATTACCAATCATGTAAAAGAATAGGTTTTGACTAATACGTGATGATACAATTTTGCCGAGAAACCGCCTACTAACTTATATATTTGGTAAAACATTATATCTATCCGGACCGAGTAGATATCGCGCTTGTGTCGCGTTACTCGCGTAGTCCAATATACATCTTTCTGTGCACAGTGCTTGTAACTTTACCAAGACTGGGCCAAATTTCTTATCATTTTGATGATTCCAGAACCTTGCAGTACACACTAATAGTACCTATATGCTAGATTTTTTTTTCATAGGTTTTTATTCATTTCTCTCATAAAGAAATTTGTACATAATTTATAACATTGTATACAAACTAATAAAATAATATTCACATAGGTCTAAATAAATTTGCAAATGAACTTTTACATTTACATACAAGGTTACAACTAAAGTTACTCATTTACAGATGAAAAATATTCACATGAACAAAATTATATTTTCACATTCAAAAAAGAAAAATCGCAAATAGCAAATTATTTCTTTTCCACAATATTTTGTTTTCCTCTTAAATTCCCTTTAGAGACAACAAATATATAAATATATATTTTCTGATCGATTCCACAACGTTTCTTTCACAATATGCAATCGCAAGACCACAACTGGTCTTTACCTTTAACCCTAAAAGGCCGGGGGGGCCATTATGCCCCCCCCCCCTCCACGATTTTTCTGATTGCTCGGGAACGCAAATGGATGGCGCCCCGCCGCTCGCTGACTTTTTTCTTTCGAGTCTTGCGCAACTTTTAAAAGATTCTTTTTGAAAATCGCACCTACGGTTACAAGGTCACGTGACCTTTTGTCTTTGCATGTCAGCCCGAAAATCGCTCATTTTCGTGATTTGTGTACAAAACATATGGAAAAGTCATTTTTCCTAAAAACAGATCAAACATGGGTTATTGGGTCTTGTTTAAGTTTAGGTGGTTGTTTTAGGAGTCACAATAGTTGAATTGTAGTAAGAAATGAAATAAAACAACAAAAACAATGAAATACATAAGAAATTATCAAAACAAGGGATAACATAAGGAATAAGCTGGCTCTTCCAACTTTTTTTGTTGTATTATTATTCAAAATGGTCTAATGAATATATGTAGTGGAAAAAAATGCTTAAATATGAATAATATATGATTTATGGGTAAAAATGTGATTTGTATGACTTTATTTGCATATATTACCATAAATATGCAAATGACTGAATTTTTCAAAAAATTGAAATTATCATATTATTCTATACACTTAACTTGACATGCGTGCAAATTTTCGCGGCGATCGGCCGCTTTGCGGCCGAGATCTTAGGGGGGGGGGGCATAATGGCCCCCCCCCCCCACCCCGGCCATACTAAGACCTCAAATAGCCCGGCCTTTTTAGGGTTAACGTTAAATGGCATACCAAACGAAGAAATAAAGTTTTTTTTTTTTTTTAAACAAATAGTCCTCACATTATTGATAGGACGATTCCGTTAAAATACACTTTCACGGGGGCAGTGTATTGTTAAAACCGTTTTGAACCTGAAACGATTTTCAGCAAAATATGCCCCTTCAAAATCCTTTTTTAAATATCTGTGAACACCGTGTATTCCTCGGTATATGTTGATGTCTCTAATTACATGGATGAAATTCACCAAATCTTATAGCGACCCATTTCTTATCACCATGCAAGCCGATACTTATAAGCAGCATCTGATGTCAAGTTTTTTTTATTTGTTAATATGACATTCCCTCACTGTTTGAAAGTAGCTAAGCCTATTGAGACTTCATATCGATCTAAATATATTGTGCACCAACGACAAGCGATAAATGTATTTTTGTCTTTCTCTGTTAGAACGAGTATTCATTTCTTAATCATTTTTTTAAATTCTATACATGGCATATTGGTCCACATTGGAGTAAAAAGAAGAAGAATTTATTAAATCAAGATTAATCGTAAATAAAGATTATCCACAAACATAAGATAACGTTTACCCGGCTTACTTCAAACATAATGTACCTACCCCGTTCATAAATTACTGTGATTCCAATTTCAATTAATATATTAAGAAATAAAATTATCATGTACGGTTTGAAATTTAAACAATAATTTTATTACGGGTATGGTGTAAACAACTTCTTAGAAGTCACCAAGATTTCGAAACAACATAAACAAATTTGTTTTCGTTAGTATTCCATATGTAAAAAAAAACGTATTCCTTAGTTAAAAATACAAATGGTTTAACTTCGATTAAGTTTAATGAACAATCGAATAATCATATATTCCGTTTAGGCTAATTAATCCTGCAGTATGAGTAATTACATCTATTACTTCAGATGACTCATAAAATAAATATCTTCTTGTAAACACAAATATCAAAAGTGTCACAAGCTACAAGGTTACCAGAAGGAGTTACGAGGATTTGGCTGGTGTAAAGGTCGACGTTCCGTTTTCCTTCCTCGCGTTCCACGATCCTCGTGGCCTGGATGATGCCATCACATGACACCTGATCAACTGCGAAGGTCCTACGCTTGCTATCCACGTATGTGATGTAGAGTGTGTCTGTCAGTTTGTCAACGTGACACTGTGGATAAAACCACTCATCAGAGTTTAAGACAACTTTCGCTTCACCTGATCGTGATATGATAGTGAATTCACTACGCTCGACTGTCGTCATAGTGATATCACCTGATGACAAGGCTTGTATCATACCCATCACCACCTTGCCCTGCATCGTAATAGTATTGACTATCTTACCATCAGCAGGGTTGATGACGTAGATATTAGACTGATTGTTCTGAGCAGCGAGGATCATCCCATCCCTGTCAACATCAACGTACACTCTCCCAACTCCCTGATTAGAGCGGTTATTCCTCGGTATGGTGATGTCTCTAATCACCTCCCATTGTCTGTCATAGAGAGTGATGCATCCATCCAAGCTGTCACCTGTGTAGTCTTTTCTCCCCTTACCGCATACTATTACGTTGCTGTCTATGGACGCGCATGATGTAATATACACGTTACTTCCCCCTTCAATGACTTTCTTTGTGTGTTCAGTGCTGATATTTGTAACATACGTTGCATTACTATCTAAGTCCCACCAGGATTGGTGAGTTAAAAACCACCCCCGGTCCCACACACATATCTCATCATCACTGATCCAACCACACACCTCAGGGAATTCAACAATCGGAGGAATGGGGATTGACTTGACAAGCTCCCATTTACCGATATAGCCATTGATTCTCCCGTAGTGTTCCCCACCTACCTCACCCTCGACAAACTCTACTTTCTGAACCCCCCGCAGTATTCGGGCAAGATAGTCGCTAACATCTTGATGAACAATCAAACTTAAATTGCCATCAAGTGATGCAAGTACTTGAGGAGCTTCATTCACTAATGTTTTGTCATCTTGTTTGATTCTTTTGATCTTGGCGTCAACATTATCCATAATGGTGATTGCATGCTGATTCTTACTTGTGAGATCTTTTATCTTTTTAGCAACCACCTCGCTGATTGCCTTTGTCTCTGATTCTAATTTCGATTGGCTTTCTTTGATGGTTAGTTGTTGTTGTTCTGCTTCTTCGTGACATGATTTGATTCGTCTTTCCCTCTTTTCGTTAATTATTTGGATTTCTTTATCCGCCTTCTCGTCGATCGAACGAATCGATCGTTTCTCTTTGTTTTTCACAATCTGCAATTTGTCTTCGAATGCCACCTTAATTTCATCGTTGACTGATTGAACATGGTTACTTGCAGAGGTTTCATTGGACTCTAGTTTAGAATCAAGCGCTTTCAATTGTTTCTTCATTTCCTCTATCTCTTGCTGTCTGTCATCCAGTTTCCTCCTCCTCTCCAAGATGACATCCTCGATGTCGTCTAGCTCACATGGCTTATGATCTTTTGTAGCGCATGGATGACAAACGGGGATTTTGTGTTCTTTACAGTAAAATTTGATTGGCTCCCCATGTTTGTCACACGACCATGTCATGTCATGATCTTTTCTAGGGCGTAGCTTGACCTTTTCATCTCTCCCTGCTGGGAACTTGGACGCCATGATAAGGAGCAAATGGCAGCAATTAACCTACATAGTTAAAAAAAAAAAAAAAATGAAATTAGAGATTAACCCTTACTGTACTGAGGGGGGGGGGGCCTGGGAGCCCCCCTCGACATTTTCAAAAAATGCGTCGTTTCATGACCTTTTTACCTCAAGTCTTCCGCACATTTTGATACCATTTTCGTCGAAATCGGATATACCTGTGAGGTGTTACATAACAATTAGTATGTGCATGTCATCAAAAATATGCTATAATTGTATATTCATGTACAAGCAGAAATGTGAATACAGGTTTAGATGCATTTGGGAGATATGAATTAATAACAAATTGCTTGTATATGTTTCTCAAAGTAACTTGATGTATTCCAGAACAAAAGAATACTTTAGAAATAAAACAATAGATATAATAAGAAATGAAAATCAATAAAATACAAAGGAAAATAAATATTTGAAAATCGCATCAAATTTGCATAAATTATCATTAATTACATCAAAATAACTATTTTGTGTTAGAAAAGAAGTTTCATATGAACAATGAGTTTCAATTAACATTCAAAAAGTGGAGTCAGAATTTTTTGGTAAGGATTCTAGTTCCCTTTATATTTCCATATTTGATATTCATGAATGCGTCTCATAATTTATGCAAAATTGCAAATTAACCTATGCATTTTCAATATCATATAAATAATGTAACCTCATGAATTTGAGATGAAGGAAACATTATATTCAATACATTTTCAACATTCTTCAGAAGTCTACAGACAAATATGTAGAGTTTTCTGTAAAATGCATAACATTAGCATTTTGCATAATTAATTAGGCTATAACGACAAAAATATGGATATAAGTGACAAACTAATTATACCATCTTGTTCCTTACGTAAATATCTACAAACATGCACATTTTCGTGTTTTTCGGACCTTCGACGGCCGAGATCATTGGGGGGGGGGCTGAGATGCCCCCCCCCCCCCTCCCCCGCCCACCCCCCCCCCCCCCCAGTCACGAGGTACTCATAATAGCCCAGTACAGTATTGGTTAAGCGAAGACACGATAGAGAAGCGGATCAGGAAAGAAAGAGAGACACAGACATAAACGAATGGGTAAGGAAAAATAAAAGGAAAGCAGATACCGAATCTTAGATAGAATATGAAGCATTTTATCTATTCTTTTCTTCATTATTTTTTATCTTCTATTCCTATTACTTGTAAGAACGTTATGACTGATATATTCATACTGAGTCAGGCGAATAAAGTCATGTCTTATACACGTTGATCATGAAATTCGTGTTGTAACGCTCCTTATCAAACCCATTAGTGTCTTCTTTGAAATGCAACCAACAAAGAAGACAAACATTACCTACCTAACGTTCTATGCCTCAAATGTTGTGTTAAGATGATTTGAAGTATTTATTATTATATTACACAAAATATTACTTACGAATAATTTGCTGTATTATCCCGTTACGATGAGGACTTCTCTACCATACAGGAAAACGATGTAGTATAGCAGTTTACAGTTTGCGTGTACGCAATTTAAAAGGAGGTGCAGTGCGTATTGCGAAATATCGATCGGATATTTCCAATTTTTGCAGGAAACGCATGAATCACTCAACGGATATAATAGTTCCGTTCAATGGTTTGGCATGATTGTGTTAACCTAATGTTTTAACCTACATGTTAAACCCCCTCATGATCACGTGGACATGAATTCACGTAAGCCGAAGGCCTCTCAATTTATTTTGCTCACCATCATCTTCATATGCAGCATTTAAATGCAAACGAAATGTTGGGGTATATAATGTCACTGTTTGCTCCTCCATCTCTCTCTTCCTCTCCCTCTTTCTATGTTCTCTCACATTATGTATCCAGACTTTTTCCATTGTAGACTCAATTCATAAAACCGTATCCACACTAAAGATATGAAGGGAATATTGTATAACAGATTAAAATATATATATATGTTCAATTTGCTACTGGACTCTTTTACTTGAGTGAAAGTGATTACCTTAACTTCCTCGTGTTCCTGATAATTATAAGTAAAGGTGCGATGTACACTTACAAAAACGCTGACCTCTTAAAGTTACTATGTCCCTTTTGCAGCCAACCTCAAATGCTGTAGAACTTTGCAGGAATTATGAATATGTCATGTATGTCCTATCTGTGATATTTAAACGTTAGCAGTGTACTCATATTCAAATTATGCAAGGAAACCCGTTTACTTGCTAGACTTCACTGTCAGACACTATTGAGTGACTGACTGGCTTTTTTTCTTCTTTGGTAATAACATACATGAAAAGAGTTGTAAAGGGTACATGAGCATTTGTCTACATCAATAACCCACTTCTTGTGATGGCCAAGATTAAACTGATTAAATCTTTGCGCAGCATAAAACGTATGACCATTCGGTACAATTGTCTGAAAATCAAGACTATTACTTTGGGGCTCTATAGCCCTAAAGTCGATTTGACAACTAATGGTCATTATTTTCCCACTTGAAGACATTTTCAAGCCCCACCTTTTTTAGGGAAGTTCTAAATTAGTATTATCTTTCAAACGCAGTTGGAATTTATCTTTTTCATTTTTTTGGCCTGCAAATGGGACATAGTACCTTTAATACGAGAGTTCACGGCTAGATCCGGTCGAAATGCGTAAACACACGGTATATTTTATACTTACTTTACGGTAATAGCATGAGACGCACGCGCAGGGACTGTCTTTATAAGTTGGTATGATTATTGTTTTACAGGGACTTCAGATCGTCAGAACATGAGATGAGGCATTTATTACTTCCGTTTCATGAAAAAAATAATTTATGTTTTGAAGCCTGTGCATTACTGATAAGCAATGCACTTGGTTAAGTCACACTTAACTGGATCACGATCATGATCCTATTGTGACTTTATAACTTGCGTGGAGTGCATATTCACTAATACTAGCAACAATGAATTATATGTATACTATTTGTGTTCTAGATTCATATATTTCCGAAGCATGGAATTAATAAATCAACGATATATCCTTTAACCTTTGAACAGATCGCATGATATGATATATAGCGTCCGATTTCTCAGGGCCATTTGAACGAGAACGAGTGAACTGGAGAAGGCGAGACCGAGGGAGAGACACATCGTGGTCATGTGACAAACGCCCGGCCCCCCACTCAGTGTTATTTAGGGTACGCATATGCTCGTACCCTCTTTTTGAAAGCACCCCCTATCTGAGGACTGCCAACATTTTCGAACCCCCTTTCGCGGGCTTTTCACAGGATTTTCCTGCCTTGGAGACACCCCTAAATCAGGAAAAATGCTCAATGTACCCCCCTAAATTCGGAATAATTTCTCAGGAGTCCAAAGAGATGAGAGGAAAAAAGAAAGAACACCCCCTTTTTAAAGAAATATCCGGGTGAAAAGTCAAATACACCCCTTTTTTTACAATTCTCGGGCCGGACTTTGTCGCACGAAAAGTACCCCTTTACCGGACATTTTGGCAACACGCATGCGGTCATTCTGACCCCTGAGTGGGGGGGGGGGGGCCGGGGACAAACGCACCAAATCAGTCAGATTCTACTGCGAATATCAAGTGATCGCTATTTGTGACATGTGCGTTACCGAGAACCATACGCGATGCAACCTAGAGACAATAGATGATCTTATCGACGAGATAAAGAGAGAGAAGACGGTTGAAGAGGGGATCAAGCATTTACTCGATCTTCAAGCACGTTTACAATCCTGCAAAGAAATTGCAGTTTCGAGTCTACCTCTAATTCGGAGCGCTGTTCAAAATGCTTGTGATAATCAAATTGAGAGGGAAATAAATATGAAACGAGAAAAGGAACGCATGATTAATGAAGATGCAGATGAAAAAATACGACGAATAAATGAGGAGAGGGAGGCAAAGTTGAGATTATGTTGCCAATTTTGTGATAAAGTAATGATGCCTTTGAAACAGCAGAAGAGCGAGATCATTGAGGAGATCATGCGGATAATATTGAAGAAAAAAAAACGTAGAGTAGACTATGTACGATTATTTTAGGGCCTAGTTACATTACCTATTCTAATGCATGTAAAGTATGCAATTTACGAACTCTTGAGGAGAGGAGACTAGCACTTTGTAAAAAATTCGCAAAATCCCCTTCAAATCACTCTATGTCAGACCTGGGGCCTGTCTCACTAAGCGCTAAGATGCGTCTTAAGCGGCCTTAGGTCCCGTCATAGGACTTAGTGTAAGATGCATCTTAGCGGGAGTTTCACAAAGCCCACTAAGACGCGTACCGTACTTAGTACCCCTTTAACTAAGTTGCATACAGGTCGTAGCCTACGTCTCGTCGAGACGAGACGTAGGAACAGTTCTTAGTGTTATGTCATGTGTTAAATTTCGCGCTAAATTTGAAAGTTGTTCTAATTCGATCTCGATGATGGTCGATCTTCAAATATTGATGGCCTTGACGTTTCATTAAAGTATTTGAAAAAGAAGACGATTCGTCGGACTCTATGAAACCATTGTCTGAATTTTCAAAAATGTTTCTTTGTCTGATAAAAAGTCACAGTTCGTAGGGGAATTTTTTTTTGCTGGCCGACCGACATAATACATCTCACCAGCTTCAAACTTCTGCATTGATATAGCACACGAGGATCGAGCAAGACTTCACCCAACAATTCCCTCTCTCTCCTACTGCACCCGGCTCTTATTCCGGTCTCTCTCTCCTCTCTTTCACCCCCCCCCCCCCCCCCGTTTCTTTTGTTTCCTTTTTCTCTTCTTTTTTTCCTTCCTTTTCTCCTTATTTTCTTTTCTTTCTTTTCCTTTCTTCCTCTTTTTCTTTTTTAGGTGGTCTGTCGATGACAGATCACCTATTGATTTCGTTAGAATTTTCTTTCTTTATTTCTTTCTTTATTTCTTTATTCTTTATTTTTATTTCTTCCGTACACTTTTTTGTGTACACGTTTACTCGAAATCGACATGGTCAATTTCCTTTGTATTTCTGTCAGTCATCAAGCCCTATGATTTCAAGTCAATTTTCAAGGTCACTAGGTCATTGTGACGTCATCCAGGCGCCATTTTGTAAAAATCAGGTCATTATCGTATCTCAATAATGAGTCATAAAAAATGAACCATATTTGGTATACATCAACTTCAGGTCAAAGGTCAACTAAAAAAGTCAACAAATTTTGTGCGCGCACCTCGACGCGCACGTACGCACGCATCAAATTTTTAAAATGCTCTAATTCATTTCAAATTTTTTTTGCACAAGTTTCAGGCCATTGTAAGCATTTTTAAAATTTGCGCGCGCGTAATTATGCGCGCGTGTTTCCGCGCGTTTCCGCGCATCCTGATATTTTGCAACATAGAATCGCCAAATTTTCTCTGTAATCATATTTATTACATTTTTCCAAGCATTTTGATACCTTGTTTACCTTTTTCCGACCAGTAATAACGCAATTAGCGGCTGTCAAAGTTGAACGCACGCGCCGACCTGCGCTATCTGTATCCACAATACATGGGCAAAAACATGCCGATACAAAATTCATTGTAACTCTTCAGAATGGATAGATACCCCCAATTTCTTTCATATTTAAATAGATTATGAGTTGGAGATATGATTTCATGTCTCATTTGACCCTCAATTAACTCATGACGTCATCTTAATGGCCTCCGAACTCAAAATTTCAATTTGCATATTATGACGTCAGCAGATTTTTGGAAAATTGATTGTATCTCTGTAAATATTGATTAATTTTCTTTCAAATTTTGATATGTTCTACCTGAGAATATTCTCTACAAATGTAGTTGCAACGATATTACATTTTGACAATGGTATCATGGCGTATTTTTGCGATTAAAGGAGGCATGTCAATTTTTTACATTTTGCGTGTATTCTCTATGGGACATGACTTTTTCTCAAAACTGGATTCTACATTCTCGTCTTTCGCGAGCAATATCTCCGTCGTTTTATCTTTGTTTACGCTGAGCTTTGAGTATGTTGTAGCTGAGACAATAAGCTATCACAAGTGTCTCCTTTATTTTTCGATCAGATGCCAGGATCATGCTCATATTTCACTTACAAAGTGGGATTTGAGAATTCCATTTTCCGTTTACGCGCACGTTTGTGTTCGTAATGGTCGTACGCAACCTAGAATCTACTTTTTTGGTCTATCATAGTATTGCCCATTTTATTCCGAACAATTTGATACCATGTTTATCTCTTTATGACCATTAATAACGAAATGAGCGTCCGTTCAAGGTAAATTCCGTTCGAACACTCAATTAACTCATGACGTATTTATGATGGCCTCCGTTCAAGGTAAATGTCCGTGCGTGCGAGCTCTTGTAATACAAAGCATAAATGGGCAAAAACATGCCTATACAAAATCCATTGTAGCTCTTTAGGATGCAAGATGACCCCAATTTTTTTTTCATATCTTGATAAAGTATGAGTCGGAAATATGATTTCATGTCTCATTTGACCCTCAATTAACTCATGACGTCATCATAATGGCCTCCGAACTCAAAATTTCAATTTGCATATTATGACGTCATCATATTTTTGGAAAATTGATTGTATCTCTGTAAATATTGATCGATTTTCATCCAAATTTTGATATGTTTTAGCTGAGACAATTCTCTACAGATGCAGTATCCACGAATTTTCATTTTGATGAAAACATCATGGCTTTTTTTTGCGATTAAAGGAGGCATGTCAATTTTTTTCATTTTGCGTGTATTCTCTATGGGACATGACCAAAACAATATAGTTCTACTAGCTGGACCCGCGGAAATCCGCGGGATTCTAGAGGGGGGCGGGGGGTGTAAATAGATATATAGAGACTGTCTAAATTAAAACCACCAAGAACTTTATTTGCCATTCAGGCCATTAAAAAAATGTTTTGCGTCCCCGCCCGCTTA